CCCCAAAACCCCAAAACCCCAAAACCCCAAAACCCCTTCAAAATACATAGTTTTTGAAATTTTAAAATATTTGAAAAATGTGAAATCAGGAATATCCAAAGGAAGATGAAAATTGTGGTCAAAGATTGGATAAAGTCACGCAAGATAACTTCTCAATCGATAAATTTAAGGAGAAGATTGCAGAGCTGACTGCTCAGGTAAACGAATGTGAAAAATAAAATGATTTCTTCTGAAAATGATGTCTTCTCTAAGAATGCTGAAAATCATTGTCTAAAGTCCAGGATTAAAGATCTTGAGGATAAAAATACACTTAACGCAAAGAATCGGAATAATGCATCAAGCTCCTTCACACTTCCATCTGAGTTTAAATCTTGTTAAGAAGAATTAGTGGAAGTTATGATCTTAGATGCATTTCCTGACTTTATTGATAAGTATAAGTTACTTGTTCCACTGGTACAGGTAATATTCATCCTACTCATGCAGGCTATCAAGGACCAAAGAAATCTAAAGTTGGCCAGCATCGGAGAACTTCTCAACATTTGCAGAGTTGAGGAAGGTATGGCCACCTCGACATCAAGACTAGGTCATTGTTTCAAGGATGTTCTCTTAAATATTTTCAGTTTGAAGATGAATTTTACCAAAAGCTTATTTTCGACCAATATGTCCTTATTTGTAGAACTATCATTGAGAGTTATGAAGATGACCAGGATGAGGACTATATGGAGTTTTTGAACGAAGCTGTTAATAGCCAATATTTCAAGAATTTTGTTAAAACTTTACATAAGATATAGTGTTGCACATAAGAATAAATGAAATAGAATGAAAGAACAGATAAAATGAAGTTGTTGGCTTAGAGCTTAGGAGATCTCTGTAAGGGTCCCTTGAGGCTGTCTTCATTCAAGACATCGACCCCAATTTGCTGGACGTTTCGACCTTTTCAAACTTCCTTGGCTGTCATCTAAATTATCCTCAAATACTTTGAGCGCACTATAAATTCACATCTTAAAGAGCCAACTCCTGATTAGGATTAGCTCCGAGTTACTTTTCAGGATTAGAACTGAGGTAGAACCTACTTCTAGCGAAAGTGCTCAGATTTGTCTTACATGCTTGTATTAGAGATATAATTTAGTGGCGGTCACTCTATATTTCCAATGCACAGATCCAATTTTTCAATAACTTTGATCCAAAAAGGTGTTGCACATAAGCCTAAGTGATCTTCCGATCTCCATAGACCTAATTCCTCGTGTGGAAAGAAGCACTAACAGATATTTGAGAGATGTATGAATTCAGGAGTTTTCGTAAAACAGAAATGTTCTGTATCGATGGTTTCCCGAGAGAAGGCCTTTCTTCAGTTGGGATGTACCCACTCCCAATGAAGGGGAAGTATGTTTATCAAGGCATTAAGCCTTCTGTGGTCAAGTTTCCTGAAGCAACCGATGATATTGTTGGATTACTCAGAAATTTGGAAAATACACAGAAGGATAAAGAGAAGGGGCTAGTGAAGCAGGAGAGTCGAGATAGAGAGAGGATTGATGAAAGGTCGAAGGATTTTGAAATTGAGAAGGATGAGTTGGCTCGATTTAGTCAGTTTAAAAGAGATCCCCAAAGTGATTTGCAGCAGAATTCCAACAAAATAGATGAAAAAGTCTGAAACATTAAACATATTTTTAATCCAGACATTTGTAAATTTCCAATCGAATACGATAAATTTGGCAAAATAGATCCTCTAGAATCTAATTCAGTCAAACATCCATCTCTTCAACAAGTAGTAAATGAGTTCTTAATTGATCAAGAAAAACTTTCCAATTCATCCCCTTCCAAACTATCACCCAACTGCTATAACATTGAAGAAATGACTTTTAAGGGAGCCTCAAGACAGAACATCAGTAGGGACTTATCTCCAACCTTTAAAGCCATTTCTGATTCTGAGACACCCGATCCTTTCATCAAGAACGAACATAACGAAACTGTAGATTCAAATGATGCTATATCTTCCCAATAAATGCATGAAACAGATCAGAACTTTCAACCAAAAGAAAGTAATTCCGACTTGCCAGCATTTCTAATAAAAGTGCTCAGCAAATAGAGTCCTCCAAAGCCAATGAATCCTCGCTTAATCCTACCTCTCTGAAGAGACTTAAGGCTCCAAAGCTCTCCATCCAAACTATTGAACCTGCTGACCTTCAGAAAAATGAATATAAGCAAAGCCTTCTTCAGCAGAAAGATTTTAGTATCGAATAAATTAAAATTCCAGTTTGTCAACTAAAGGAGAATCCTCAAAAATTTGAACCAACAAAAGACATCCAGGTTTCTTCAAAGGAAATACCTGATTTAGCCAAATCTCTTGAGAAGGATAAATCGCCGTTTGGCAACGTTTTCGTTAACAAAGTTAATTATTTTCATCAGAATGCAGCAGGTCATTTTAGAACACAAATCCAAAGTATTCAAAATTTAGAAAGTTTTGATGACTCCAAGCAATTTTCCACTCAAAATGAAGCTTCAGCAAAACATATTTTAAGAAGAAATTCTACTTTTACAAAACTAGAATTTGAGTTATGTGAAGCTGATGACATCGATGATACCCTTGAACGTGAAAGCAACTGTAATAACAAGGTTACAAAAGACATGTATTACCAAAGGAAAATAGAGAATTCCTCGGTTGTGTTTAAAGACATAAATCTAATTCTAAATTATGCTAAAATGGAGCTCTCGAGACAGAACAGACAACTTGTTACTCCTCCTTACTACACAATTCTAAAGGATTTGGGTAGTTGAACCTCATACAAAAATGATTCAAATCGAAGAATGTCTAAACCAGAAACTGTCAGGGAGATTCTCATCAAAAAGAAGAAATCAACCTGTGAAACCCAGCATAAACCAAAAAGTGCTTCACTTTAATCAGCACAAATAAGGAGGGAGACAAAGAAAATGGAAATTCTAAAAATAGCACAGTTTTTGGTAAATATAACAACTCTGAATTCCTATCTGTCTTTGGAGTTAATCTGAAGAATTCTGCTGACAAGAGAGAAGAGAGGTACCTCAGAAAAGAATATGTCAAGCAAGAGTTAAGCAGGTCTTTTAGATCTGGTTGTAAATAATGGCTAATCTGATGACAAGAATTCTCGCCCTGAAGGAGATATCTCTAAATTGGTTGGAGCTAATCCGAAGAAAGTTCCTTTCCCCACAAATTCGTTGTTGATCGACAAGAATGAAAGCTGCAACCAGCAAGTTCAAAGATTGGGAACTGAGCTTAGTAATCATAATTCAACAGAAAAATTAGATCAGAGTAAATAGAATGTTCAAGAAAAGTTAAAATTTCTTTTCAAAACTGTTAAGTGAAATTCCCTGGTTCAGACCAGTGTGAGACACCCTTCTTGCACAGTTGAGAAAAAATCTCAAGAGGGAAATATTGTGAATAAGAGAGTATTTAAAATTACAGATGAGACTTACCAGAAGAGAAGTTATAACAACAGCTTGTGTAATTCCGGTTTTAATAAGGCGACTCCTTTCAGAGAGCCTTATGGGAAAATCTTGCTATCAATACTATTCTGAAAGAGAAAATCCATCAAGGAAGGAAAATTTCTAAGTCTAAGAGAAACAATTATGATATGCCTTTGAATGATTGAGGATGAAGCCTAACCCAAGTTATCAAACAAATAATTTTGCTAGAACTAGCGAAGAAATCAAAACGAACATTAAGAGTAAAATTAATGATTATCAATATGTCTTGAAGAACAATTTTGTTAGCAACTCACAGAATCAAAGAGATTCCTTGGAAAAGAATGACAGATTATCTTTGATAAGCAAGGATACTCCTCCTAAGTACACAAGTGGCTCTTCAAATGCTTTCTCAACTGAAGCTGTTAATAGAATCGATTATGAGAAAAGAAATCAATTTAGAAATATCTCGAATTATTACAGAATTGAATCTCGGAGCCCAGTTGCAAGAAGAAAATCAGCTGAAGGATATAAGCCGGAACAAGTCAGTAATAGAAATTTGAACTGCATTATCCAACATCCTGGAAGGTTGTAATGCGGTAGAATCAGAGCTTAAAGATCATGAAAACTTGCAAAATTATTTTAATCCGAAAAGGTCTCAATATAAGGCAGGAAGGACAAATTTAGAGAATTCTTGATCCTCATACAGCAGTCTTTCTATAGATACAAATAAGAGAGTTCAGAATATTACAAGAACGATCACGCATTATCAGAGATCACAAGACTCTTGTACTTCACTCTCTGTTTCAAACGAAATAGTCAAGAGGAATAATCCCTTTCGCAGCATTTATTCAGGAAGTTCATCGAACCAGAAATCGAAATTTTTGACTAAAATGTATCAGAAGAAGCCTTTGCTGCCAACTGGTGACTTTGATGAGCACTTAGCATAGGCTAGAATGCCCAAAGGAACTTATTTAGATTTGCGAGAGCTCTAAACGACCCAGCTATAGCTTTTAAATTATTCAAACTTTAGCCAAATTTAAGGGGTTTTGGGGTTTTGGGGTTTTGGGGTTTTGGGG